AATGAACCATTTGGACTTGTTTGAGCCTTTTCCCTGAAAAGAGAGAGTGTTTGGTACACTTTAACTTTTGGGTCCACAATAGTTAAAATTGTGTCTAACTAACCACATGCATCTCATTCCTCTGTTCAGATTTCTTTTCACATAACAATCTCCTTTCAAATGCACTCTTTGACAACAAAAACTACACATAATGGAAGAGTCTTTAACATGTAATGATTTGATAAGTTTCAATCCACTTCTTCTATATGTTGTAAAACCATGTGCATTTCTGTTGTGTGCTAATGTTCTTTCATGAGCAGTAAGAAAGGTGGTTGACATGTTCTTTTTGAGATAATCTTGTTTTCTAGCTTTTAAAGTCTCATCCAAATTGTCCATCCTTTTATTCAGATCATAATGTCTTTTCTTCAGCATTTCACAAACACTTGTCTTTCTATCAAGTTCATTTTGAACATCAAATCCGGCTCTTACAAGGCACTCATTGTCAGCCTTTAGTTGTTTATTTTGTTGAAAAAGACTTGCATTATTTTGAATGAGAAAGACAATTTTCTGTTTTAGCTGCTTGTTTTTATCATAAGATTCCTTCAAGGCATTATGCAATTTTTCAACAAAGGATTCAAGATCATCATCATCTTCATCATCACTTTCAGATTGAGAGTGTATGGAAGTTACCTCATTATCTGCAATAGCCATGAAGGCCATTTGAGCTGATTCTTCTTCTTCTTCAACTTCGCTTTCGGAGTTACATTCATTCCATGTAATCTGGAAGTTGTTGAACCTTGGCATTCGATCAGCTTTTCCATCTTTCTTTTTCTTCAGGGAGCATTCGTTTGCGTAGTGTCCAGGCTGTCCACATTCGTAGCATTTGTCCAATTGTTTCTTGTTGAATTCTTGTTTTCCTTTGTTCCTTGCGATTGGAGACTGATTCTGGAATTGATTGCTAGGTCCTCCCCTTCTAAACTTTCTTTTATTCAAGATTCTCTTGAAACTTTTTGTGATGAGAGCAAGATCGTTGTCATCACCATCCGAGTCTTCATCATCCAACAGAGTTGGATCATCTTCACCTTGAGCTGCCTTTAGAGTTATGTTTCTCTTTGCTCTCGCGTCCTCTTCCTCCTGCACTTTAGTTTTCAACTTCAACTCATAGGAGGTTAGTGAGTTAATGAGAGATTCAATAGGCACAGAATTCAAATCCTTAGCCTCCTCTATTGCAGTCACTTTACTTTCTCATTCTTTGCCCAACGCATTGAGAATTTTCCTGTTTTTCTCTCCCAAGGTGTACTTTTTGCCCAACACCTCGAGATCTTTGATCAAGTCATTGAACCTGCAATACATTTTGTCAATATCCTCAAGAGGTTCTATTTTAAATGATTCATACTTTGTGACCAAGATAGACTTTTTCTGTTCTCTCACATTATCACTACCCTCATGAATTTCTCTTAGCTTATCCCACATTTCTTTGGCAGATTTACATCCTTTTACTCTAATTGATTCATTTGAGTCTAAGGCACTATAAAGAACATTCACGGCTTTGGCATTCAATGTGAGATTGGTTCTATCTTGAGCATTCAACTCAGCTCTTATTTTTGGCCGAAACAAACCTGTATCTGCATCAAGAACGTTAACATCGTACGGTCCTTCATTCACAATAAACCATAGCTCAATATCAATGGATTGCAAAAAGATAATCATTCTTTCTTTCCAACTAACATAATTGGAACCAGTAAACATGGGAGGCCTAGTGACAGATTGCCCCTCAACAAACATGGCATGATTTGTTGTCATCTTTACTCCAAGCCGTTTGAGCTTAATCTCTTGGAGACCAAGCTCTGATACCAATTGTAAGGCCCAAAGACAACCTAAGAGGGGGGTGAATTAGGTTGATTAAAAATATTTTATTGAGTTTATGCACTTTTTCTTTAATAAAAATTTACCTTCTTTTCTAGTAGTGATCAGCCAAGTAAATTTAAAGAAGAGAGCAATGTTGATCAGAAATAAGAGTATATATAAGCAATGAGAATTTTATTAAACAAAAGGAATAAGATAGAGTATCAAACCGATTGTCTACCAAGCTTTCCTTAAACTTGAAGACCAATCACAAAGATGAGCACCTTCTCTTTGATGAAAAATAATCAACTCAATGTACAATGGAGGGATCACTTCCTCCTTGCCCCAAGCCTCACTTAGTCAAGTTAGGAGGTTTTACTATCACTCAGATAACCCTCAAGAAAGCTACACTATTGAAAATTTCAAATACAAGAGAAGTGCATACACGAACTTCACACTACTTGGAGAACAAATCTTGCTTAGGAGACTATTTTCTAGCTAAAATATCTCTTGAGATCTTGTAAACAAAGTGTGCAAAAGTCACTTTCTCGTTCAGAATCGTTTGTATTTGAAGGGGACAAAAAATGGGCTTCATTAATGCTTCCAACGGATAGAAGGCAGATGAAGAGTCAGCTAGCCGTTGGGGCTGTCGGACGTCCGACAGCTTAATCATCGTCCGATCCCATCGTCCGAAAATCACCAAGTTGTCATTCGGACGTCCGATGGGATTTTATCGTCCGAAAACATCTACGTCCGAACGTCGTCCAGAGAGTCATCAAAACTTTACGAAATTTTTCGGACGTCCAACGCGATCGATATGCGTCCGAAGAGTGCGTCCGATCCTCCCGGACGTCCGATGCTTCCTCACGAGCGTCCGAAGGAGTTTCCTTCTTGATGTTCTTCATCCTTTCGGACGTCCGACAGTTTCCTTTCGGACGTCCGACATGAGTGCCCTGTTTTTGCTTCTTCTTTTGATTGATTTTCTTTTCTTGACAACTTTGTACCTGATTCTCTAAAAAGCAAAACACTTATATCTGAAGAGAATTAGATAAATATTTCAAAGTGCTTTGTGATCATCAAAATCAAGAATAACAATTTGTTTTACTGTCGTTCAATTTTTTTTCCCTGTTTATGTTTTATTGCCATGCTCTTGAGATGAGACTATTTAGGGAAGATTAATTATAAATGTAAATGGTGGAGGCTTGGAGAGAAACTGATTTTAGCTAGAATTAAGACAAAGATGGATTTTGAGGGTTTAGATAATGGAAATTGTCTGTTATATGCATCAAAGTTGGGTATTGTCAATTGATTAGCTTGTGTTATTTTCTTTTTGGGTATTTGTACTCAAAATGGGCAAAAAGTGTGAAAGATGCTTATTTTGCTATAGCTAAATGGCTCAATCGAACTTTCTTATGATATGACCATTTTCGTAGATATCTTTCTTTCACGGTGAGGACTTCCCATTTTGACATTAATTTCTTTTTAAATGGACAGAAATGCCTCATTTTTCAATTCAGGGTTTATTCCCCTTTGCTTCATGTAGATGTCATATTTGTTACTAGAGTGCAGCGCCTCTTTGAGTAGCCATATGAACAATTTAGGAGTTTCATATTTGGCTTAGTTAAGAGGCATATAATGAAATGTGGATTCAAAATATCTTAAGGTATTTTGGGTCTTTGAAGGCCTTTTGAGGGGACTCTTTGCACTCTGTAAAGTGTCCTCCAAGTAGCCTTAGACATTCTTTATGGCTCCCCCCCTTTTTTTCCTTCTGTTTTCCTATAGTGATGTTTATTTGCAAGAAATATCAATAGTATCGGCTTCTATCTTTGATTGAATGATTGCGACAGCGTTGCCTTTCCCTGCGTGGTATGATTGAATGATTGCGACACCGTTGTTCTACCAAAGAGCTTGGTTCTTCAAGTTCTGCTTTTGAAGTAACTTCACATGTATTTTGGGTGCATTAACCATTACAATTCATACTTAAGGTGTAAATTAAAAACTGAATGATGAAATTGGGAAGCATAATTACCTCTATATGTCATTTTTCTCAAGTATTGATGAATTCAGATATGCATACTCAACTTTTCCAGGCTTAGTAGTCTTTCTTTATTCAAACTGTTTTGAGTCTCTAGGTTAGTTTTGAAAAACAAAATTGGCAGCTCTCAGTCAAATTTAACATTTTAGTTCTTTCAATTTGACTTCTTTTTTGTTTGTAGAATTCTGAGTAATGTGCTTTTAGAATTCAATCTATTCCGCTTTTGAGTGTTAACACTCATTCAAATTAACTTTTATTTTCTGTTGTGAGTAATTTCTTTGAGACCGATACACATTTGATTGATGTTCTATTTACCTTTATTATGAATTGTTTTATACTTTATAGCATTGAAATATTATATAAGATCTGAATTTGTTATGAACTTTAGCCCTGATATGAATGTTTTTTGGGAGCTATTTTCAAGATTTGGGTGCTTGTGTCATTTTCAATTTTTTCTAATGTCTGTTTGGTTTGAATTTAATGCTCCGTGTGAAAATATTTGAAGTGGAACTCAAATATTTGTTTGTTTTTCTATTAAAGGCATGTCTATTAGTCCTCCCGAGGTTTCTTCAATACCACGTGTGTCTGGGACCGATTCATCCACACCAGTCATGGTTGACAGCCCAGTATTTGTAAGCCGTGACAACTGTGATCCCACACAAGAGGATGGTGAAACACAACAAGGGGGAACCGAAGACACCAATAGGCAGCAAGGAGATATAGCTGAAGATGATGATAAATTCCGAGTACCTAAAAGGAATAAAACATCTGAGGCATGGGAAGACTTTGACGATTTGAAAGAAAATGGCATATATTATGCCATTTGTAAACATTGTAGCAAGAAACTGAATAGGGGAAAAACTAAACAAACTAGCAGCATGTGGAGGCATCGAGAAAACTGTTCCGTTAGAAAAGCCAAGCTTAGAAGGGCCGAGCAGCAAACAAAGATAAACTTTCAGCAAGCGGATGAGCGTTTTCCAACTATACCACTATTGCACACTGGCAAATTCGATATGGAAGCAATGAGAGAGGCTGCTGCACATTGGATCTTAATGTACGAGCACCTTTCACAATTTTCGAGGAAGAGGGTTTCAACCTAATGATGAAACGCGGGTGGCCGGAGTGGCAAAAGATCTCACGCATGACAGCTAAAAAAGATTGTACACAAGTGTATGAGATAGAGAAAAAGAAGTTGAAGAACTTGCTGAGGCATGTACAGAAAGTCAGCTTGACCACCGATATGTGGAAATCAAAGAATCAAAAAATTGAATACATGGTGGTGACCGGACATTGGATTGATGGAAATTGGAAGCTTCAGAAGAGGGTGTTAAATTTTGTTCATATTCGACCACCACGTCGAGGAGTTGAGATTTCGGATGCAGTTTTCAAGTGTGCAAAGGAATGGGGAATTGAGGGAAAAATTCACACTATTTCTGTGGACAATGCCTCAAACAATGATGTGGCCATGAGATTGTTGAAAGATGATTTCGGGAGATGCAAGAAGCTATTGGGTGGAGGAAAATTGTTTCATGTTCGTTGTTGCGCCCATGTCTTGAACCTTATGGTTCAAGATGGCTTGAAGGAGACAGTAGATATTTGTGAAAATATTCGAGATAGTGTGGATTTTGTGAACAAGTCTGATGGTAGGGCATTGCTATTTACAGAAATTGCTCAACACCTGCAAATTCCTGGGAAAAATATGCTCCATGATTGTAGGACGAGATGGAATTCAACATATGAAATGTTGAATTGTGCTATAAAATATAAAGAGGTTTTTCCTCGTTTTCAAGTTCGAGAGCCCCTTTATGAGTCTTGTCCATCTTCAGAGGATTGGGAGAAAATTGAGAAAGTTTGCACCATTTTAGAGAAGTTCTACATGGCCACGCACATAATTTCGGGGAGTGAGTATCCAACTAGCAATCTATTCCTCCCTGAGATTCTAAAGGTGAAGAAACTCTTGGATGCACGAGTGGATGATGAAGATGATTTTGTCTGGGGTATGATTACAAGAATGAAGCTCAAGTTTGACAAATACTGGAAAGAGTGCAATTTATTGATGTCCATTGCAGCTATCTTGGATCCTAGACAGAAAATGCGAGCAATAGAGTTTGCCTTCCCTAAGATGTATTCTGCATATGAAGCTCAAGAGAATATCACATATGTTCGAAAAGCCATCTTTGAACTTTATGACGAGTACGTTGCTATGGCTACAAGTGGAAGTGCAGGGACAGGTTGTTCATTAAATCCTGCATCCGAAATAGTGTGTCCACCTCGAGCAAGTGCTGACTATTGGGATGATTTGGATGAGTATTGTGGTGAACTAGAATCCGATGAACCCCATAAGAGCGAGTTGGTGGATTACCTAGACAAGCCTCGCCAACCTACTGGACAAAATCCAAAAGATTTCAACTGTTTAGATTGGTGAAAAATCAACCGATCAGCATACCCGGTACTCTCTCAGCTAGCAGCTGATGTATTGGCCATTCCTATCACTACCGTCGCATCTGAGGCCACCTTTAGTGCTGGAACTAGGGTGATTGATTCATACCGTGCTTCACTTGCTCCGGAGACAGTCCAGACGTTAATGTGTGAAGGCGATTGGTGTAGAAATTTACATGGGGTCAAAAAGAAATTGAAAGTAAGTTATATCTATATGAATTTGTTATTGCAGAGATAAATTAGTATTTATTAGTTTGTTTATTGATTTTAAAGTATTACATTATTTACATTTCCACCACCTAAATGCAGCCACAGAAAGCTCTCAAAGAATATGAGCTGCCCAATGCTTGAAGTTGCATAAGGAGCAAATAACTTGCTGGAAATCAGGTCCATCTTTTTTGTGAATTCTCATTTTCCTATTCTTAATTTGCTATAAGTTGTGTTCAAATTTTAAATTTAAATTGTACATAAGTTGGTTGATTTGTCATTTTTGTATGGCTAGGTGTTGTAGATTGTACACCAAAGTTTGAAGATGCATAAGGAGCAAACAAGCTGTTTCATTTACCAGATTACAAACAAGAGCTTCTAAATGCTCATTAGACTCCAGAAAATTTCCCTAAATTGTTCCTTTCAATTGGTTGCACTCCTTTTTGTATTTTCATGAAATTCTGATGAGGTTGAGAACAGGTTGTTGCTTATGTATATTGCTGAAATGTTAATGTGGATCATGGCCACTTAGTTTCTGCATGCATATGGTGTTTCTTTAATCTGCCGGTCCTTTTGTTTCTCATTGGTTTCTCTTTTGCGGAATTTCTGAATTTTAGAAGCTAGAATTCTTGAATCTTGAATCCTTATTAATCTTATTGATTCCCCTGGGCATGTTGATTTCTCATCTGAGGTGACTGCTGCCCTTCGTATTACTGATGGTGCATTGGTGGTGGTTGATTGTATTGAGGGTGTGTGTGTCCAAACAGAAACTGTCCTTCGACAGGCTCTGGGAGAAAGGATTCGTCCTGTCTTAAGTCTTAAAATCTCAACAACATGGACAGGGGTGGACAGGTGTTTCCTGAGGGACTTCTTATGCTCTATGTATCCAAGATGATTCCAGCATCTGACAAAGGTAGATTCTTTGCTTTTGGCCGTGTGTTTTCTAGAAAAAATTGTCATTGGCATGAAGGTTAGAATCATGGGTCCCAACTATGTTTCGGGAGAGAAAAAGGACTTGTATGTTAAGAATGTCCAAAGAACAGTTATTTGGATGGGTAAGAAGCAGGAAACAGTTGAGGATGTGCCATGTGATGTGGTAACACAGTTGCTATGGTTGGTTTGGATCAATCCATCACCAAGAATGCAACCTTGACCAATGAAAAGGAAGTTGATGCTCATCCAATTAAAGCAATGAAGTTCACTGTCTCCCCTGTCGTGCATGTTGCTCTGTCTCCCCTTCTAAGTCTTGTCCATGTGGCTCCAGGACTTTAATTGGCTTCTAAGTTTTGTTTCTTTGCATTGCAATTAATCTTGTTCAATTGATATTAATGTACTTTAATTCGAATGTTTAGTGCAACTTAGTTTATTGTTTAGTACAAATTACTAGTATTGCATTTAAGATACAGGGACTAGATTCTTTAGATTATTCGAGCTCGAGTACTCGACTTGATATCGAGCTCAAATGACACGTCGAGCTCGACCTCTGGTGGTCTGAGTTGAGCTCGAGCTCGAGTACGCCACTACTCGAGCTCGACTCGGTTCGATTTCACCCCTACTCGTACCCTTGAAAAGTGAAAGTAGCGACCCTTTCAAAATACGATTTTCCCGGTCTTTGATACCAAGTGTAACTTCTAAAGTCGAAACCACTTCTTGATCATAACTAAACGAGCGAGCATGAATTTTTTGAAATTTGATAAGTATCTTGAATACTACTTAAACGAGTTGCATTTACTTGATTTTCTTGAAACGAAACTCCTATGTTTCGAACTCTTGAGAGTTTTACATTCGTAAATGATATTTTATCGTAGATTTGGACTCCAACCAAGGAGTTGGACCTGAACGTTGTGACGCCCCGAAAAAAATGAGTTTGAGAACCCGGAAATTTTCTAATTTTCTAGGGTTTATTTTTTTTAAATGCCTGCCTTTTCTACATTTTCTTGATTAGAAAAATTCCCCAGATCAAGTTTATGAGCAAATATAGTTTTCAAATGATTTTTCTAGTATCGGTTAGTTTTTGAGAAATTAAAAGCGTATTTTGGACGTGGGACCCGCAAGTGCGGTAAATGCATTATATTTTTGACAACTTGTTGGAATTTTGTATTAAGTGATATTAGTTTACAATGTGTTAAGATATTTGTGTAAGAGAGACAAAAAGTTAGGCAAGCAATTAATGAGAGGGACATGTGTCACCATATGATTAAATCTTGTTTTGACTTACTATTCAACCTTTTACCAATTACTAAATAAAACAAAAAAATTGATCAAATATCTTCCATTTTTCCTTCAAGCTTGGCCGAACCTCCTCTTACAAGAAAAGAAAGAAAAGCTTCCAAGTTTCTTGCTCCAATCATGTCCAATCTCACAAACTAACCATTTAATCTTGAATTCCTTCCATAAAACCTCTTCAAGTAGTGATTGTGAGTTGTTGTGTGAAGTTTTTTTGGAAAGTTAAGGTGTCCTACAACTCTCCCTCTCTTGTTTACTAGGTGAGTGGTAAATGAACTTTCCCCTACACTTAATGAAGCTTGAGTTGTGCTTAGTGGAAGCTAAAGTGTTGAATTTTGTGATTTAATTCTTGTTTTTGGATGAAATGGTGAAGTTTACAATTTATTGGTGAATTTTCTGGTTTAATGTGATCATGATGTTGTGGCCTTGTATGATGATTGGAAATGTTATGTAATGAAGCTAGAAGGTGGAAAAAGTGGACAATTGCAACCAATTTTGGGTTTGGAAGAAATTCTGGAAAATTAGGGTTCTTGAAGCTACATTCTGTCCGAAATTTTAGGTCATAGATAGACGCCGAATTGGCCTTGGCTCAAAACATGAAAGTTGTAGATATTGATGTTTTAAGGGTGCCTGTAAAATTTCAGGGCATTTGGAGTAGTGTAGAATGAGATATGTCGTATTTACTATTGCTGTTCTGGGTTTCAGGATGGCCGAACTGAGCCTGTAAATGGGTTGTTTTGACTGGAATTTTTTTGGATTTGGGTGTTGAGGTCTTCTGATGAAATGTAGCTGGATGTCTTAGCTATCATATGCCTTTTGAATTTCGGCATTTGGACCTGTGTAGACTGAGTTGGATGAATTACAGCATTGTGTGATTTGGGAACCTGCAATTACGGTTCTGGGTTGGTTTTCTGCATATTTGACCTAGTTGTGCTAGGATTTGGACTGAGTGACCTTCTACATTGTTGTAGCCCTGGTTATTAGCTTCGAAACGGTGGGTCTTGGACCTCCATCCGATACTCGTAATACCTTTGGTTCCATTACCGCAAAATGACGTCAAAACTGTTTTCCTGGTTTTGAGCTTAACTTTCATTTCCGAACTTTTCCCTAGCTTGACTTGTACTAGTACTACTTGGAGCTTGCTGAATGACTATTAGATGAACTTGTTGTTGTGTGTGTACCTTTGGGACTGGCTGAGGAAATAATGAAGCCTTGATGGCTGGAAAAGTAAAGAAATTTAGGGGAAATGCTGTCCGAATTTTGAATGGGCTTGATTGCTTTGCGTTTGTGCGTTAGGGCTTGGACTTGAGTGAAGTAATGCAATATGATGGATGGTTTCTGAGCCATGGAGGTGAGTGACCCTAAACTATTTCCAAAGTTATTTGTGAAATGTTTCTTGCATTATTTATTCGATTGCATCTCATGCGTGCTTGCATGTGAATTCATGATATGATTTTGGCTTCAATGAGTTCTGGGAAAGTCTTGTGCTGGACACCAACGTCTCCACTCTGTTTGTGGTTCATGTTCATGGTTATCTGGAGCTCAAAAAGGGGCTTCCTCTCTCTGTTCGTGTGTTATGATCTATTTGAGCGTTGGGTGTTCTAGTGCAATGATTTCACTGGCTCACGAGAGCACTAAACGGACATTTGATCTCTGAATCATGACATCATCGAAATCATCGAAATGCAACATTGTGAAATATATTTGCTTAATGATTTTGCTGGTTACTCGCTGAGCTTCTAGCTCACCCCAAAAATATTTTATTCCCCTCCACAGGGCTCAAGGCGAAGGAAGGACTTATAGTACTTGTGCACGTGATTGGATGGCCTATGTTTTGTACAGTTTTGATTTGGAATCATTTTATGTATAGTTGAGAATTGTTTCCGCTGCTTTTGTGACATGTAATTATTGGAGACTTGGATGTATAATTGTGGACCATGTGGACTTTAGTGAACGACTGAGTCCCGGCGAGAGCTGGGCAGGCGGCCCGCCGAACCCTCTGGTTCGCCTTAGGGGGAGGTGGGGCCGTCACAAACGTGACTTTTGAGAGGCACTAGACCTTTGATGAGTGCTTCCAACTGCCTGATTGAATTGGACACTTGTTTTCAATACTTGACCAATGTGATTTAATGATATGTAATTTGTTTGATCGGGCAAGAGTGTACTTTATCGCACTTGCCCTAATATGATATATACTTGTTTATTGTTACAATTGACTTGATATACTTGTACTTGACTTGTAAGTGCTGAGCGGTAGCATGTACCACACTCAATGTGAGTGGGAGGTGTCTCTCATTCCCGTCTCTGTACTTTTATTTTGATTCAGTCGATTAGAGATGATATCTCATCGACTTCTTGGGGACCCAAACCCCACTGGCTAGTTAATCAAGTCGAGCCGGCAATCAGTATCTAGTGGTCGATTAGATAATGAACCATGGGTATCTAGTGTTGTCGAGTGGAGTGTTATCTTCTCGACTAATCAGTATACTCGAGTATTACCACCAATGTTTATTGTGGAGTTCGGGCCCGGTAAGGGGTTTGGTTGGTGGACGG